TTTCGAGGATGAGGTGAGGGAGATCTTTCTCGCGATTGATCTGAGGCAGCTGCGTGCCACCCGTGCCACCGTGGCGATCCCCCCTCCAGAGCATCGCGGCCAAAAACCCGACGGTAGCCCCGGACTCGGGCTGGAGGAGGGAGAAGAATTGCCCGTGCGGTGCCCTGCCGTGCGCGACGAGGGAAGCCCTTGTCCAGCGAGTTTCGTCACAGTCGGAGCCATGCTACGCCTTCTGGTCTGGGAGGAGCAAGTGGGGCAAGCATGGGTTGCGAGATCTTGCGAGGCGTGTCACAAAATGGAATCAATGCGTCATCTGTTCATAAACGTTCAGTTCCACAGCGTTGGCGTCCCAGCATCTCCAGTAACGCATTGTTGCCAGGCCGATCGTGCCAGGGTCCACTGCGAACCACAGCTGCCATCGGCATTCGTCTGCCCTCTGTGCTTCCAGGATCAGGAGAACGAGCATGTGCACTGCTTTCACATTCAGACACATCTCACCGGAATCATTCCAGAGCACCATGTCATGTCGAATTTGCCAGGGAGCTGGAGGAGGCAGCCTCTCGCAGGCGCCAGCCCGTCGGCGCCCAAGGCCCCGAGGACCGACGCCGCGGGCAGGGCGCCCGCAGCTGGGGAAGAGGCGCCCGCGGCCGGGGACGAGGCGCCCGGGGCCGGGGCCAAGGCAGCCGCGGCCGGGGCCAAGGCGTCAGCAACGGCCCCCCAGGCACCCGCGGCCGCGGCGACGCCACTGGCAGCCGGCCCGCCGGCCGCCCGGCCGGCGCGCCAGCAGCACATGGAGGTGGACGACGAGGAGCCCGGAACGCTGGGGCACCGCCTACTTGTGCATCTCGAGACACGCGTGCGCGCAGTGGAGGGCATCGTTGCCTTGTGCTGCCTCTTGAGCAAGAAGGATCCGGTAGTGGCAGTCATGGAGCAGGCACTCGCGGGGTCCAACACGGAGGTCCAGGGCATGGAAGACCAAGCCTGCATCACAGCCCCCACCTGGACGTGGCCAGTGCCCTCCTGGACTTCTTCGCGAAGGGCGAGGTGCCGAGCTGGCTCGACGCGGCCGGGCAGGCGCGTTACCGCGCGCTCTGGAGGCTTCAGGCGATGATGCACATCGGCCAGGCCCAGCAGTTCGCCGCGTGGTGCAAGCTCGCGCTGTGCTTGCCCACGTTCACACCGCTGGGCAAGGGGGAGAAAATGCGCTTGGTCATAGCGTTCGAGGGCAGTGTGGAGGTCTGCTACGATCCGCAGGTGGAGATGGAGCACACCGGCAAGATCTTGGATCGGGCTGGACGAAAGGGGGGGATTGGGAAAGGGGGGGGTACGAAATTTGCTGCATGCAGCTGGTTTCGGCCCCGCCGAGACGCCCATTCCTCGATACATGGACGCCTCCCGGCGCCGGGAGGCGCCGGGAAAGTCACCTACGTGAGCTGATTCTCAAACCCCCCCTTTGCTATCCCCCCCTTTCGCCCGGCCCGATTGGAGACAACGCGGCATTACCTCAGCGCGGAGGGGGAGGCCCAGCAGCTGAGCCTCAAGGACCTGGTGCAGCTCACACCGCTGAGCCCGCTCGAGCTCGCGCCGGGGCTGGCCCCGCCGCCGGCGCGCGCGGTGCAGGTCAACAGTCTCCTCTCTACGGCGCTGGTGGCGCACGGAGCAGCATTCCGAAGCGAGAGGGCGCCTATGGGCAGGCTCGCCTGCAAGATCGGGGAGAAGCGAGGCCGCCGGGGAGGAGGCGGTAAGTGAGAGAGGTAGCCCGCTGCTGCGGCCAGCTCCAGGGCGCGGTAGGAGCTCCTGCCATGCGCACAGGCCGCCCTCGGATTTCTGTAGGGGCGGAGTTCGCGGGGAGGGGCCCGTCTTGGCGGGGGGGAGCAGAAAGCACGTAGCTGTGAGCGCCGGACGATTTACATATTCAGGCATTGCACACATGTCATTCCATATTCTTCCTCACCATTTAGCTGCACTGTTTTTCACAGCTGCGTTCATCGACGATCGTCCGATGGCGAGCTGCCGCCGCCGCCGCCGCCTCCTCCTCCTCCTCCTCCTCCTCCTCCTCCTCCTCCTCCTCCTCCTCCTCCTCCTCCTCCTCCTCCTCCTCTCCTTTACCCCCATCCATCCCTTTTCCGTATAAGCAACTCCCCCTTGTCGCACCCCCAGACGTGTCGGTGGGACGGGCGTTTCGCTTGAGACGCCTTTGCAACAGGTGGGCTTGAAGCCAGAAATTTGCAACAGCTTCACGGATGGAGGGCGGGCCGTTTTCAAAATGCGGTTGTCGCTTCAGCGCCGCGCACATTCGTCTTAAAGGTTCAAGGATGTAGGGCGGGTCCTTTTCAAAATGTGGTTCTGATTTTAGCGCCGCGCACATTCGTCTTAAGGGTCTGCAACAGCCTCAAGGATGTAGGGCGGTTCCTTTTCAAAATGTGGCGCTCGCCTGAGCGCCGCGCACACTCGTCCGGAAAAATTGCAACGGTTTCAAGGGTTCGTGCGGTCGAAGTCCCAAGCATGGCGTTTTCCTAAGGTTTGGGAATATCCGAAATCCATAGTAAAATTGATTCACGGTGTTGAAATCCCAGGGATGCTGCTCCGACGCGATCGAGAGTTGCCAGGACGCAACAGTAACATTGATCCGCAGCGTCAAAGTCCCAGGAACGGCGATTCGGCACAATTCAAGAAACACCGTTGTTTTACTTCCCACAACGAAAATACAGGTTTAGGGGACTTACGGAGAGGGAATTTGAAGGGAGGCTTATTGCAATATCGTTGGTGCGTCTTGGGTTTCCATCGGTGCTCCTCCTCATTCTCATCCTCATCATCAGCATCACCATAATCATCATCCCCCTCCTAGGCAGGGTTCGACCTAAACGGTGGTTTAGCGATTTCGTGGACCGCTCTCGTTTTGATGTCGTTTTGTAGCAGAGGCGGAACGCAGACAGAACGAGGCAGAACGACAACGGAAATTTCTGCATAGGTCGGGTATTGGGTGGAGGCGTGCAAGTGCCGTCAGCGTATCTGAGGCAGCGACTCAAGGGGTCTGGGCAGAGTTTATGCCTCCTCCTCCTCCTTCCGATACCGACGGAAGCACGAGGCTGCACGGACAACATATTATATGTCTTCGGGCGCCAGGTGGTACAAGACAGTCAGACGCCAGTCAGGCAACCGACGACACATGCAGGAGGAGGAGGAGGAGGAGGAGGAAGTGAGAGGCAGAGAAAAGAAGGCGGCCTGAGTTCACACAGGGCGGTGAGCATCTGCGGCGTAGTTCCCCCATCCGTGGCAGTTTTATTCTACGGGCTGAAAAGAGCACGAAATTGTGCCGAGTGATCTTTCACCTCAGGCCATACACCGATACAGGGGCCTCGTCCTCTTGCTCCTGGAGTCGGCCTCGGACGACCAGAACTGTCTCGTCGCGGGGCCGCGCCCCAGCGCAGGTGCCACACCGGCCATCGCTGGCTGGCAGCTGGTCGTGGCGAAGAGCATCTCTGCATCCGCGGCCTCGCGGGCCTGGCCGCTGGGCCGCGGCCCCGCAAATACGGGGCGCTTTTTCGCGAAGACCCCGAGTTGAACGTACCCGTGCGACCGCGTATCCTTGGGATCCCGCCCTGGAATCCAGACCGCGAAGGCGCGGATATGGATACGCTCGCCGCTCGTGAGCTGAAACAGAGGCAAGAGAGGGAGGGGGAGGAGGAAGCGTGCTTCCCCCACTACTCAGAGCCGATTCCTCCCAACTGCCTCTTGGGCTTAGATCGAGACAGACAGACAGACAGAGACAGACAGACAGACAGACAGACAGACAGACAGACAGACAGACAGGCAGACAGACAGACAGACAGGCAGGCAGGCAGGCAGACAGACAGACAGACAACAGGCAGGCGGACAGACAGAGACAGAGACAGAGAGATTGAGAGAGAGAGAGAGAGAATTGCCCCCATCCACTTTCTCCTCCCTCTATTCCTCCCCTGTCGCTGCGACCTCGCCGGCCAGCACGACATGAGTTTGGACCCGATGCTCGAGCTGTTCTTCGGCTCCATCAGGACGGGCGCTTCCCGGCCCTCCTCGGCACGCAGACCACAAGCATATTGCAACACAGGCCCAGTGAAGTTCACCCAACCCACTCGAGTCGTTGCTGTTCCCCTTCGTACTCTTTCTTATCTCTCCCTATTGTCTGAACCTGTTCCGTTCTGAGTCAGCGTGTAGCAGAGTTCAGGTAGAGGTCCTTGTGAGGTTGGTATCTTGCCGACGCTACCGCTGCTTCAATTGTTGACGCTTCGCGTATCCCCACCAGTCGTGCCTGCGTCGTGCCTGCGCTTCGCTGATCCTTATCTTGCGCTGTGCCCCAGCCTCGGTACTCACGCCCTCTGGACTTTTCCTTGCGGGCCGCTAATCAAAAAAGTATCCCCACCAGTCGTTTGCAGGATCAGTACTCCCTTCAGGAGTCTTGGTGTGCGACTTTGGTGGCGCCACCCTACGCACCAGTTTAGGGCCAGCATGATCCACCCTGGCAGCTGACGCAGTTTACTGCCTGGCTCCCGCTCTGGCCACATCCTGGTACGACCCCCGCGCCATTTTGGCTGCGCCCCAACCCTGGCCGACCCGTTGGGGCCCTAGCTTCTGGAGCAGTCGTGAGCACAGAAGAGGGAAGCACGAACGGAGTGGGAGGCGAGTCCCTGTTATTGGGCGCTTCCAGACGTTCTTAGAGGCCTTTCTGGACCGTCTTGGGGCCCTTTTGAGACGTTTTGAGGCCCCTGCGGGCTGTCTCGGGGGTCTCTGGCCGTTGTGGGGCTTTGCTGGGGGCGTTTTGGGGCTGCTTTGGGGTTCTCTTCAAAGCCTCTTGGGGCCGCCTTGGCCGTCTCGGGGCTCTCTTGGGCCGTCTTGGGGTTATCTTGAGCCGTCGTAGGGGTTTCTGGGGCTGTTTGGGGGGCCCTCTTGAGGCTTTGCGGGGCCTCTAAATCCGTTTTGGGGCGATTAGGGAGGCTTCTTGAACACATCTGGAGCCGTGGAACACGAAAAACCGAGCATGGCTGAGAGATGCGCGGTCCCCCTAAGGAATGGAACGGTTTGGCTTTGTTTGGCGTTCTCTGGGGGCTCTTCGTGGGCGTCTTGGTGGGGCCTCTTGCACCGTCTAGAAGCTATTGTGGAGCCTATCTGTGCGTTTTGGGAGTCTCTTGAACTGTCGCATAGCCATATGAGTCCGTCTTGAGCGCTCTCGGGCCGTCTTGGAACCGTACTGGACCTCTTTGGGGCCGTTTGGGGGGGCTCTTGGGCGTCCGGGGTGGTCGGAATTGAGGAGGGCCACGACAGCTGGCCGCCGCTGGAAGAATATAGCCGAAGGTCAGGCCAAGTTTGGGGCCCGGGGGCTCTGCCAGTGCAAAAGCTTGCACAACACGTGAGATGGCGGTTCCACTGTTTGTTGGACCTCCTCCCACCCCTCCCATTTTTGACGTTGCGCAGACATAGGTCGGAGATCGTTGCGTCATTCGTGGCGTGCAAAAAATGCGTGGCTCTAACAAAGGTTCCTTTGGAAACTCGTAACAAGAAGGAGACGTGTGTACACCCATCGGCGAGATGAGTTGTCGTGCGCGCGTGCTCAGCGCTCGCACGCGCGAGATCCCAAGACGTCCCCATGGCTACAACATGGTTCCAAGAGGGCCTGAGGCCACAGGCGATAACGTCCAGACGACCCTGGGACGACGCCACCCCAACACGATCCCGCCATGGAGTCTTGACCGTCTCAGGCCGACGCGAAGATGACCTAACACATGATCCACTAGTGACGCCGAGATGGCCCGATGGCAACAAGATGGATCCACGCGCGCATAGGGTGGCCCCAGAATGAACACGCGACGGCTGCGCGATCCAAGCATGACCGAGATATGATCTCAAGATGACCTCAAAACGCCCCTGACATGCCAGGGATGCTGCAACTTCGGAGCCCCATCTTATTTCGAGCCGATCCCAACATGGCGGGATCCGTGAACGACCCGGGATATGTGTTTATCCTATTTCTAATGGGTGCGATTTTAGTCTGGTTGAACTAGAGTATAAAATTAAAGGAGAGTAAGTTAGGCAGGATCCCGCCCAGCCCACGGCAGAAGACTACATTGCTAGGGTCCTACGGGGCGTAGGGGGGTTCGGACGGGGCGTCATTTACTTCTGCTGTCTTCCGCAAGCCTTCCAGCGGCCTTCCGCCGTCTTCCGCCTCGTTTTATTTCCGTCGTTTCCGCGAGAGAGTGAGGTGACGAAAATTCAGGGGACATTCACTGGGCCGATGTAATCGCCGACTTAGGCGAAGAAGAAAACACATTAAGCAGGTGGCGGGCGCTGCGGGCAAAGACAGACAAAAAAGGTGGGCAGCAGAAAGAGGCCAAATACGGTGCATCCACCCCTCCCTTCCCCTCTCCTCCCTCCCCCTCTCTCCCTCCCCCCCCTTCCCAAGCCATAGCAAGCGCGCGTGTCGGCACAGTTTCCGCTCTCCCGCGAGCGTGCCGATGGGCACACCTCGTTTTTGCAGATGCTCTTGTGTCCTCTCAGGTGCACGGTTTTGTGGTGGTGGGCTTTGCCGGATCAATTCAGCTCGAGAAATCCGGGATCGGGAAACCCAGTCGCGATTTTCCATGACTTTGGATGTCAAGCAAGGTTCGCGGGCTTCTTGCATGCGGTTAGAGGTTGGAGCACATGGAGTCCCGAAATCGCACCGCATGGCCGACGCATCGGCAACGCGGCGAAGTTTGGACCCCGAATTCTTCCATTCGACGTCGCTGGCGATTCGTGAATTCGTGAATACCTCGGCGGTCGCAATCTTGTGATTCAGGGGGCGTCCAATCTACGCGTTTTGGCAGCTGGCCACTTCTCGTGCAAGACTCGTGCGGGTTGCCCAGGCCGACCAACAAGTCCGCCAGCGTCGATGGTTGGGAGATGTCTCGGAAGGAAAGCACCGCAGCGTCACGTCTGGATGCAGACCGCCACGCAGTCCTCGGCAGGTCGGCGTCGCCGTTTAGGACGGGGAATCTTATGAGGGCCTCGCACAGATGTGGCGCGATCCTAAATCGCACGGGAAGTTGACACCGATGCAGGCACGTCTGGATGCAAATGTCAAGTGTTGAGGTAAGCCTAGAAGACACGGACGCCAATATGAAAGTGACGTCCATTCGCATAGCGTGTGATGCGTCCTGCGAGTGGTAGTGCAGACCTATATGATTAACGCGAGCATTAGATGCAGATAGGTACTTGCGTCTGCATGCTAGTGTGCCTGCTGGCCAACCTCCACTTCCCAGCATTAGTTCCCCGATAGAGACAGGAAACGAAAAGTGGCATCTGTAAGGTGAGCGCTTTAGATGCGCCGCAGGCACCACACCTTAGGATGCTCGAGAGGACTGGATGGTTTCATGAATTGCGTGCTGGTACAGTCTGAGCAAGTAACAAGCATGGCCAGGTTTCCTTGGACATCCTTGTATCCTTCGTGGGAAGTCCCTGCATCATCCTACCCCTCCTGGGTGGGGCCCATTTGAGGGTCCAATAGCTTGATGCTTGCCTGCATTGCCGAATCCGACTGCATTATGTGATGCATGATTTCCGATTGTTAGCTTAGCGGTCGTCAGGCAATGTGGCCGCGGTCGAGACGAAATGTCGGGGCTCTTGGCGAAGCACTCTCCACACCGGCTGAAGCCTCATTGACCGCGCGCCCATTCCAGTATCCACTGCAGCGCCCGCGTATCCATTTCGGCCAAGGTTTAGGCTCAGAGCTGCGGTCGACCCACGGTCACCCGTGCCTCGCTGCCAGAGGTAGGAGAAACATGGCCACGGCGAGGCCCGTCGTCTCCGTCTACAGCTCCGAGGACCCCTCCGCGAAGGCGGGCACGGTGCCCCTGCCCAGCGTGCTGACGTCGCCGCTGCGCCCCGACCTCGTGCGCTACATCCACACGGCGGTCTCCGGGCGAAGAGAACTATGCACATGCACCGATCCTGGCAAGGCCCTGGGAGGAGGAGGAGAAGGAGGAGGAGGAGGAGGAGGAGGAGGAGGAGGAGAAGGAGGAGGAGGAGGAGGAGGAGGACAAGGACGAGGATCGGTGCATGTGCATAGTTCTTTTCCCTCTAGGTCTCCAAGAACAAGCGCCAGGCCTACGCCGTGACCCCGAGGGCCGGCTACGAGACCGCCGCCGAGTCTTGGGGCACCGGCCGCGCCGTGGCGCGCATCCCGCGAGCCCCGGGCGGCGGCACGCACCGTGCCGGCCAGGCGGCGTTCGGCAACCAGGCGCGCTCGTCTCCTCCTCCTCCTCCTCCTCCTCCTCCTCCTCCTCCTCCTCCTCGGAGGAGGAGGAGGAGGAGGAGGAGGAGGAGGGCGGAGAGCTCTCCACATACCGCTGCCCTTGCCTCGTTTGCGCTTGTCTCGGCCTCCTGGGAGGCCCTCGTCGCCACCGCTCGATGGCCCTGGAACTTCGGGCCAGGACGCACCCCGGGGGAGGTCCAGGGAGCAGCGGTATCGGCACCTTCTGGCTTCCCCATCTCCGCTGCTTTCACAGGATGCACGGTATGTTTGCCTTGTGTCGGCCGGCGACGACCCCGCCGCCGGCGTTCGACGATGAACGCCGCCGGCGACCCAGAATCGGTCGATTTTGAGCGATCTGACGTGTCAGAAACGGCCGATCGTCCAAGGTTGAGAGATCTCCACGGTGTCAGAAATCAGCGCCGAAGTCGGCACGACACGAACTTGCCGCATCAGCTGCCGAACGAAAAGACGAGTCGGTAGGGCGGTACGAGTGAGAGGGCGGCGACAGCGTTTCGCTCGAGACCGCACCACGGCGGTCTCGTGGTAGAGCCGCGCGCACTCGTCTTAAGAATTTCCAAAATTTTCACGGATGGAGGGCGACCAGTTTCCACGATGTGCTTCTCGCCTCCGAGCGGCGCACATCTTGAGCATTCACACAGGTTGAGAGGTCCTCATACTTCTGTGGTGGCCATGGGGCTTGTGATTTCCAACGGCCACACGGGGTGGCGGGGGGCATTTTCTCAAAACATGGTCCACCATTCGAGATTTCTCGACGTGTTGCCGGCACGCGGACTCCCATGGGCTGGTTTTTTGCAATCCTGAGGACACCCACTATGGCTGGCGGTGCGCACAAGTTGTAGGGGGAGAGGGGAAGGCTTCTTGGACGGAGGTTGCTCCTTAGAAGGCGCCGGCCTTACATCTATAGAGAAGGCCCGCGCCTTCTCAGAAGCAGGGGTGTCTCTAAGAAGCGCCCCCCCTCCCCCTACCCCCCTCTGCACGTGGCCGATACCGTACATGGACAATATATCCGAACCTTGCGACACAAGATGCCCCCCGGACCCCCAAATTAATATTGGGGAGATGTGGCACTGAAGGGGCGGCTTGGGTGGACAATGATATCCGAACCCCCAAAGCAACACCCATACCGATCTCAACATCGAAGTGGGGGGCAGGGGGGGGGCACCAGCATTCCCTTCACGTCTGCATTGGGCTTGAATACATTGTCCATGTACTCTGGGGGGCACCATGGGGCACCGACCGTGAGGCCCACAGCGCAGCAGCCACAGGCCCCGACCACTGCACGCCAGAGAGCACCGTGCACGGGCCGCCGCCCACGGGGAGCACCAGCGCGCCCACGGCCAGCACGCGCCCACGGGGCCGGGCCGGCGCCACCGGCCGCAGGGGAAGCCCCACGGCACCCCACACGCGGAGCACCGGCTCGCGCCGGCGGCGGAGCACGACCCACAGGGCCGGCCAGGGCACCGATCGGGCCGGAGGAGGAGGAGGAGGAGGAGGAAATGGAGGAGGAGGAGGAGGCGGAGGAGGAGGAGGAGGAGGAGGAGGAGGAGGGCGGAGAGGAGGAGGAAGAGGAGGAGGAGGGAGGAGGAGGAGGAGGAGGAGGAGGAGGAGGGATGGGAAAGGGGGGGGGTACGAAATTTTTGCTGCATGCAGCTGGCTTCGGCCTCGCCGAGGGGCCCCTTCCTCGAGACATGGCCGCCTCCGGCGCCGGGAGGCGCCGGGAAACTCAGCCACGCGAGCGGATTCTCAAGCCCCCCCTTTGCTATCCTAAAACAGGGCTAGGATCGGGATAGATCGCTCCAGAGCGTTCCGGAGCGCTCTCAGAGCGTTCCGGAGCGCTCTGGAGCGGCCGCGGCGCCCAATACATCCTCCAAACCCGCCGATTCTCAGAGATTTCGAGTTATCCCGACCCGATTTTGTTCCGATCTTCGCGTCGTTTTATATCCCCCCCGTTCGCCCGACCCAGACCGACCACGGGACGCCGTGCGGCGCTGGGCCCAGAGCACTGGGCGCCAACGGCCGACGGCGGCACACCGTGCCAGGCAGAGCACCAGCCATCGACACCACAAGGGCACCGGCCATCTATTCTCGCAGGCCTAGAGGTTGACACCAACACCAAGATCGGCGGTGTTCCTCCACCGAGGGAGGAAGATCCCGATCTCGGTGATGGTGGTAATGTTCTGGCTTCCAAGGTGGCCGAAACATTACCACCAACACCGAAATCTAGGATCACCTCCCCCCTGTGAAGGCAGCCCTCTGTCTTGGTGTTGGTGCCCATTTCCAGGCCTCCCATATTCGGGGCGCCAGAGCGCGCCAACGGCCGATCGCGACGCAGAGGGCCATTATCTTCGAAGCCAAGCAAGAAGTTGCAAGCGCAGGCATTGTCTGGGGAATGATGTGGTCGTGAGGCTCAAGATACAGTCAACCAAGGTCGCCATTGCACTTTTCTTTTTCGGCCCGTCCTTGGCCACTTTCACTGGCCGCGCCCCGCTGGAAAAGTGCACATCCTTATCATTCGCATTGCTTGTACCCAACGGTTGGACAGATGGAGGGCGCCCCCTGTTCAACATCTGCTTCATGAGGCGTCTTTATTGCATGGTCTGTAATCCGGCATATTCAATTAGATCTAGCGGTATGGGGCAGTTTCTTTTCAGCATTGGCATGTTGTCGGAGATGCCCCTAATTGTGATTGGTCATCATACAGACTCAACGTTCGAGCTTGTGCACGGATGCAAAGCAGTGATGTTTCAAAGTCATGTTCCTTCTTTGGCGTCGTGCACACATCTTTTGGAGACGTTGGCAGCTACATTGAGGCGGTTCCATCCCAAACCCAGTGATGCTACAATGCGACGCGGTCGGACCTTGACTCAAACGTTGGCTCCATCTCAGGACAGGCTTCTCTCCGCGCAGGTCCGTGGGCCTCTGGCCTTTCCGGTGGGTGCCCGCCGAGGTGAGGGGAAGCACGCGCGTGAGTACGAGAAGGGCAGGGGGACGGGAGAATGTACTGCAGCATCAGCAGAACGTGTTGAGTACATTCTGACCCTCCTCCTCCTCCTACTCCTCCTCCTCCTCCTGCTCCCTTTTGCCAACCAGGCGCGCGGCGGAGGCATGTTCTGCCCCACCAAGATCTGGCGCCGCTGGCACCGCCGCGTGAACGTCACGCAGAAGCGCCACGCCGTCGCCACGTGCCTGGCCGCGAGCTCGCTTCCCCCGCTCGTCATGGCCCGCGGCCACAGGATCGGAGCCGTCTCGGAGCTGCCCCTGGTGGTGTCCTCCGCGGCGGAGTCCATGCAGAAGACCAAGCAGGCAGTGGAGCTGCTGAACAAGCTCGGATGCGAGGAGGAGCTTCAGAGGATCGCCGACTCGAAGAAGGTCCGTGCTGGCAAGGGCAAGATGCGCAATCGCAGGTACACGATGCGCAAGGGCCCGCTCGTGATCTACGAGGAGGACAACGGCATCGTCCGTGCCATGCGCAACATCCCGGGCGTGGAGACGATGTGCGTGACCCGGATGAATTTGCTCAAGCTTGCGCCGGGTGGCAATTTTGGCCGCTTTCTGATCTACACCGAGGGCGCCATGAAGAAGCTCGACGAGATGTACGGCAGCTTCACCACGGCCTCGCAGAAGAAGGGCTACACGATCCCGCGGGCGCAGATGGAGAACGCAGACGTGGCGCGCATCATCAACAGCACCGAGGTGCAGTCCGTCCTGAAGCCGAAGCTGGAGGCCCCCAAGAGGTTCGCCGTCAAGAAGAACCCGCTGAAGAACTCCGCGATCATGGCCAAGCTGAACCCTGGTGTGCTGCACAAGCGGGCCCTGAGGGCCAAGAGCCACGAGAAGGGCACCCCAGAGCAGGGGCTGGTGCAGGAGAAGAAAAAGGCCCGCCTCGCAGCAGCAAAGGCTCACGGCAAGGAATGCAAGAAGGGCGACACGACGTATTACAAGACGCTCATGCAGGCCTTCATGGACAAGGCCGCGGAGGCGCAGAAGAAGAAGGAGGACGAGGAGGAGGAGGGCGCCGGCGAGGACGAGGAGTGAGCACAGCCCGCACGCGTGACATGGCGGGCCAGCGGATCCCAGAGGCAGCGCGCGTCTCGGGCAACAAAAAAAGGAACGGGTACTCTATTCCTGAATTTAATTGGTTTTGGGGTTTTAACAAATGGTCACAGCCACGCAGAGGGCGTGCGTAGCCACGCCCCAAATGCTCGGTCTCCAGTACTTCTATGTGGCGGCGCCCCCGCAGGCACGCAGAGGGCACGCGTGGCGACGGGGGCGTCGCCACGCAGAGCTTGTAAAGACCAAACATGTTGAGCACCAATTGTTTCCACTACTAAAGTAAGAGATGGGAGGGTGCGGGAGCGCAAAATCCGCTTTCGGGGTGAACGAGATGCAGCGTGGGGTCTTCGGGCTGGGTGGGAGAGCCCCCCTGTGCCCCCCAAGAAGGCGGTGCGGGTCAGGACCTGCTCACCAGTCGGCCTCTGGACTGCTCAGTCAAGCAGGTGCCCTTGTTGGGGCAGAGCACGTGCGGCTTGCTTTTCGTTGGGTGCGGCGGATATTGCAGGAAGCGGGCGGGAAGCCCATCGCCTCGGGTAATGATGCTCCCGCTTCTGTGACATCCTCGCGTCGGTTTGCTTGTTGCAGAGGGGTCTGGGCAGGGATTGGAAGATCGAAAGACTTGCAAGACTGATAGAGTTTGGATTCTGTCGGCGCGGATTCAAAAAAAAAAATTGAATGATTCGTAGAGTAACGTGTGTGTCTTTGTGCACCGACAGGAAACTTCAAAGTTGAATAATATCACAATAGGAGGGCCTATGAGTCAAATATTGAATGTTTGAAAGATGTCTCAATCTGAAGGGTGCAAAAAAATCTGGAGGCTCTGGTTTGAAAGATTGAAGTCCGCAAGAACTTGCAATCCAGAGATCCCCGACTGGAAAGTGCAAGAGCGTTTCGGCATGTTCTTAATGCCTCAGGGCGCGGTGACGGACTGAAAGGATGAAAGAATGAAAGACGGTTCGTCTTGCGATCTTTCAATCTGGGCCCTCCAGATTGAAAGATCCTTCAACATTTGAGCATTTAAATTTTGATTTTATGGTCTGATGCATGTTCACATATTTCAGAATTTTGATACAGACCTTCCAGACTGAAAGATCTTTCAGTATTCCAATCCATACCCTCCGGATTGAAAGACTTTCAATCGTTCAACGTGTCAGTCTGGGCCCTCCAGATTGATAGACCTTTCAATGTTTCAAACATTCCAAACATTTTCAAACCGAACCGTCTCTCCCCGAAAGAAATAACCCGCGTCGGCCGCTTCCGTTTCGCAAATGTTGCGTGGTGTCAGCCATGTTTCTATCAGTTTCGTTTCGCGTGTTCCGCTTGTCTTCCGCTCACCACACATCGGAGAGAAGGCCAAAGTGTGCGGTGTCTGATCTTGCCACGGCCCAGATGGCCACCTCGTGTGACATCGAAGGGTAGGGGCCTCCCAAGAGTTTGCTGCAGGGTTCTTTGGGAGCTTCTCCGGGCCCTTTGGGAGCCCGTTGGGAGCCCCCACGGGCCATCTTGGAGTGTCTTTGGGGCAGTTTTGGGAGGGCCATGGCGAGAGCTGTTGACTGAGCGTCTTGGGGTCGCCTTGGGCCGGACCTAGAGAGACGCACAATGCATGTGAGGCTTAGGCCAGCAGCAGCAGGAGGCGGAAACACAAAGAGGTGGAACGCGGGGTGCAGCGGAGAGAGATCGAAGACTCAATTCCAGCGAGCACGGAGCAGAACGGAATGACCTCTGAACGAGACGCTTTTGTTCTCGGGTCGGAAGGGGCTCAGAGGGTCGCCAGGCGCAGAATGCGCTCGTCCAGTGTTGGCTTCAGGTCGGAGGCGGTTGGAGTGCAGGTAGGCCAGCAGGCCTGAAGCCTGCGCTGAAGGCCGGACTGCCGCGTGGCACCTCCGAGGCCGAACGAAGGCCCCAGGAACGCCCGTCCGACTACGAGGAGGAGGAGGAGGAGGAGGAGGAGGAGGAGGAGGAGGAGGAGGAGGAGGATAGAGAGGGCTCCTCCTCCTCCTCCTCCTCCTCCTCCTCCTCCTCCTCCTCCTCCAACTCGTCCTTCTCCCAGACACCCCCCCGCCCGCCTCCGCAGTCGATTGGTCTGCACAGGCGCGCCTCCGCGGTCCGCCCAAGAGGGCGCTTCCGCGCGCCGCCGGGGGGCCGCGGCCCGCTCAGCAGACCGCTCTGCTCTGCCTCTGCCCTGCCCCTCCCCGCAGCGACGCCTCGAAAGAGAACCAGGCCAAGTACTTCCTGGCCCTCGTTAAGGCGCCAGCCGCCAAGGAGGAGGAGGAGCAGGAGGAGGAGCAGGAGGAAAGGGAGGAGGAGGAGGAGGGGGAGGCGGAGGAGGAGGAGGAGGAGGAGGAGGAGCGGCCACGCGCGAGGCGGAGGGGGAGGAGGAGGAGGAGGAGGAAGAGGAGGAGGAGGAGGAGGAGGAGGAGGAGAACGATAACGCTACCGGCGAGGAAGCAATAGATCCCTGGATTTGTTGGGCGGCGTGCACGTTGTTGCAGCTCCAACTTGCGACACCCATTCCGATGTGACTGTTGCTGTTTTCGCGGAAGCAATGGACAAGGCACAGGGCAGCGAGGAGAAGCAGAATGGGCAGCATATCCATCTGCATTCGCATCCCACATGACAACACAACGATGTTGGTTCGTGTTGATCATTATGTGAGGGCGCCGTGGCAGAGATTCCAATCTGGCCGAGGTGTGTTTAGACCGTTTATCCCGTGAGCGGGACGTGGCGGGCTCATTTCTCTTTCTTTGCGACGGAAATCGTGAGAAGTGCGGCGACTTGAGGCGAAGACAGTATAGCGAGGTGGTCATTGGGGCCCGAAGTGGAATTCCCTAATTGGCCTATCTTCGCGAGGGTGTTCCGAATTGAGGCGGGGCAGTATACATAGGGACGTGCTCATTGGGACGATAGTTGGACTTAATACAAGGAACGATCCGCGCGAGGATACTGTCGAATTGAGGCGAGGACGGTAGAGAGGCGTGCTCATTGTTGGGTCTGTAAGCGGAGTTCATTGTAGATTGTTTAATCGTCGTTGTCACCTCTCATTCCAATGTTTCAGCTCATGCTCAAACATTGAAATTACTTGCACATTGCAACTCGCGTGTTCTATACGATTGCAGCGCGTTCATACGACAAAGCCCTTTCACAGACCCAGGGCTTTATATATACGCCTCTCGGCTGGCAGGACGAGGAGAACGAGAAGGACAAGGAGGAGGAGGAGGACGGGGAAGAAGGGGGCAGAAATGCGGAGAAGGAAGACGAGGATAGGAGAAGGAGGAGGAGGAGAAGGAGGAGGAGGAGGAGTGTGGAGGAGGAGAAGGATGAGGAGAAGTAGGACGAAGAGGATGACGAGGAGGACGAGAATGACGAGGAGGAGGAGGAAGAAAAAGAATAGGAGGAAGACAAAGAAGAAGACGAGGGCGGAGGAGGAGGAGGAGGAAGAGGAGGAGGAGGAGCAGGAGCAGGAGGAGGGAGAGGAGGAAGAGGAGGAGGAGGAGGAGGAGGAGGAGTGGGGAGGAGAACGACGACGACGACGAGGAGGCAGAAGAGGAGGAGGAGGAGGAGGAAGAGGAGGAGTAGGAAGAAAAAGAAAAAGAAGGGTCCGGAGGAGGAGGAGGAGGAGGAGAAAGGAGAAGACAAGGATGAGCGGGAGGAGGAGGAAGAAGAGGAGGACAAGGACGATAAGGACGAGAATGACGAGAGGGAGAAGGACGGGGAAGTAGAAGAAGAAGACGAAGATGAAGGGGGGCGAATGAACAGTGGAGGAGGAGGAGGAGGAGGAAGAGGAGGAGGAGAGGTGTCGAGGAGAGGGAGGAGGACGAGGATAATGAGAAAGACGAGGAGGAGGAGGAGGAAGAAGAAGAAGAAGAAGAAGGGGTGCGGAGGAGGAGGAGAAGGAGGAGGAGGGGAAGGAAGGAAGGACGACGAAGAGGACGACGGGGAGGATGAGAAAGACAGGAGGAGGAAGGGACAGGAGAAGGAGGAGGAGGAGGAGGAGGAGGAGGGGACGGAGAAGGAGGAGGAGGAGGAGATTGAGTGGGGAGGAGGACGAGGACGAGGACGAGGAGGATGAGGACGAGGCGAAGGAGGCGGAGGGGGAGGAGAAGGAGTGGGGAGGAAGAGGACTATACAAGTATTCCTTTCCACTGCGAGCGCCCCCCCTGGAATGATCAGCGACCAGCTGGTCCGCTTGTCAGAAGGTGCCGCCTGGTTAAAAGGATTCTCATTCCACTTGCAGGACTCCCAGGATAGCCCCATTTTGAGAAGCAGATGCCCTCTATCCGTTTAAGCGCTGCAGGATGTCAGAGTCGTTGACGTATGCTCTGCGGAAGTCCCACGCAACAGGCCTTCAAGGAGACCCCGAGATAGCCTCATGTTGAAAAGAACGTGCCCTCCATCCGTCTAAGCGATGCAGGGTGTCAAAGTCGTGGACACATGCTTCGCGGAGGTCTCACGCGAGAGCCCCGTTTCGAAAGAGGAGCCGCCTTTCATCCGTGTCAGTTGTTGCCCAATGTGGAGCGCCTGGTCGTAGAGGTCAAGGAAGGGTCACGTGAGTGTATTTAGTGGACGTTGGATTCGAATGTGCGCGAGGCCAGGGGGTGACCTCAATAAAGCGGGAAGCGTTCGTGAAGAAATGATGTGCCCAGGATTCTGCAGACCTTGGAAGATGCCTTACCTGATGAAGATGGCAGTGATACCCATGGCCGATGCACGATTGGAGTCCCACCGGCTTCCAGACCCTGGATTCATTATCTGGGGGTGCCTTGTCCAATGCCTCCACCGTCTTGGAAAGGACTCGCCATCCACTCGCGCAGATAAGGACAATGCGGATGCCGAGAATACATGGAGCCACCGCGAGAGCCCCTTCTTGAAAACGACCCGCCCTCTGTATGTTGTTTGGCTGTGTAAGTCGATGGTGTGCGGCGCCCGCGAAGCGAGAGCACCCCGTGTGAAAAACTCTTTCGGTGCACGCGTCAACGCGATCTGAGTTCATCTGCTCCTTGAGGCCTCCTGCGGCGACGAGGACGATGAAGATGAGGGCGTGGATGCTGGTGCTGGCGGCGACGGCGAGCTTGGGAGCGCTCGTGGAGGGATTGTAGCGTCTGGGAGCTTCTGGGAGCATCTTGGGGCGTCGGGGAGCGCCTGGGGAACGCCTGGATGCAAATTAGACAGTCTGCTATCGATTTGTTTTGTTTGCATGGTGTGCCCAGGGCTTTTTCCGGGCCAGGGGTCGGTCGATGTTAACGATAAGCAGATGCGCACCCCATGCAGATGTCCTACATCGGGTGGTGAAGGTTGGGTCGGATGGATGCGCACCGAGTTGTATGTGATGCATCGAATGGGGATGGTTGGGTCGGACGGACGTACACCGAATAGTGTTTCCCACGTCGGGCGATGAAAGTTGGGCCGTATGGATGCACACCGAAAATACATGTTGCATAAGATGGCGAGGATGGGGCCAAATGGATGTGCACCGAGTACATTAATATTCACAGAATGGTACTGGTTGAGTCGTACGGGCGTGCGCCGAAACATCGTTGTTTTACATACGATGGCGAAGATTTGGTGGTATGGATGTGTGCCGAAGCGCTTCTGCTGCGTAAGATGGTAAAGGTTGGGCCGCATGGATGCGCGCGGCGCTCTGGCGAGAGCCACATTTTAACAACGATCCGGCCTCCATCGTTGAAACAACTGCAAGTTTTCAAGACGAATGCGCGCAGCGCTAAAGCGAAAGCTACATATTGAAAACGGTTGGACTCCATCTTCGAAGCTGCTGCAAGTATGTAAAACGAATGCGCGCGGCGACAAGGCGAAATCCACATGTTGAAAACCATCCTTGTTTCATCCGTCAAATTATTGCAAAATTAGACGCGGAAATGCGCGGCGGCAAGGCGACAGACACGTTTTGATAACCATCCAGCTTGGGTTTCTGACATTGTTAGATTATCCCAGTGCGACCCTACCTAGGAGTTGGAGCCTCTAGGAAAGCAACATTAGTAGGAACGGTGAACGCCGTCCTCCTCCTCCGTCTCCTCATCGTCGTAGTTGTAGTTGTAGCGGTAGCGGTAGTAGTAATAGTTGTAGTACTACTACTAGTACTAGTACTAGTACTAGTACTAGTACTAGTAGTACTAGTACTAGTACTAGTACTAGTACTAGTAGTAGTAGTAGTAGTAGTAGTAGTAGTAGTAGTAGTAGTAGTAGTGTAGTAGTAGTAGTAGTAGTAGTAGTAGTAGTAGTAGTAGTAGTAGTAGTAGTAGTAGTAGTAGTAGTAGTAGTAGTAGTAGTAGTAGTAGTAGTAGTAGTAGTAGTAGTAGTAGTAGTAGTAGTAGTAGTAGTAGTAGTAGTAGTAGTAGTAGTAGTAGTAGTAGTAGTAGTAGTAAAAGTAGTAGTAGTAGTAGTAGTAGTAGTTGTAGTAGTAGTAGTCGTAGTCGTAGTAGTAGTAGTCGTCGTCGTAGTAGTAGTAGAAGTACTAGTAGTAGTAGTAGTAGCAGCAGTAGTAGCAGTAGTAGCAGTAGTAGGAGTAGGAGTAGTAGTAGTAGTAGTAGCAGTAGTAGTAGTAGTAGTAGTATTAGTAGTAGTAGTAGTAGTAGTAGTAGTAGTAGTAGTAGTAGTCGTAGCGCCAGAACCGCCGACGCCATGGAACATACGTGCGCACACACACACATAAGTATATATATAGCAGCAGCAGCAGCAGCAATAGTGGATGCGGTGCTGCGCTATGCTACCCTACGCTATGCTATGCTATGCTATGATATGCTGCGCAATGCTATGCTGGGCTAGGCTAGGCTAGGCTATGCTATGCTATGCTATGCTATGCTGCACCATGCTATGCTGCGCTATGCTACGCTATGCTGCGCTGTGCTATGCTAAGCTAAGCGATTATATGCTATGTTGCGCTAGGATATGTTATGCTATGCTATGTTGCGCTGTGCTAGGCTAGGCTAGGCTATGCTATGCTGCGCTATGCTATGCTGCGCTGTGCTATGCTAAGCTATGATATGCTATGCTATGCTATGCTGCGCTATGCAATGATATGCTATGATATGCTGCGCTATGCTATGTTGCGTTATGCTATGCTGCGCTATGCTATGCTATGCTATGCTAATGCTGCGCTAAGCTAAGCTGAGCTAGGCTAAGTTAAGCTATGCTAAGCTAGGCTAGGCAAGGCTAAGTTAAGCTAAGTTAAGCTCAGCTAAGCTAGGCTAGGCTAAGCTAAGCTAAGCTACGTTAAGCTAGGCTAAGCTAAGATGAGATAAGCAACGCTAAGCTAAGGGGACGTAACCGGGGGAACCGCGGGGCGGATCCTGGGGGAACCGCCCGGGGCGGTTAGCATTGCCCGGCCCCTTTTAAGCAAAAAGAGTAAGAACCCTTCTAGGCAGAGCCTAGGTAGGGAATGTCAATATTCAGGATCATCATTGGCGAGGACGTCGCAGCGAAATGCCCGGCCCAGCCTGAGAGCACGTCTGGCGGTGAGGAGTCCGTTGTAAGGGAAAGGAAAAAGGAGGAGGGGGAGGAGGAGGAGGAGGAGGAGGAGGAGGAGGAGGAGGAGGACGGAGAGGAGGAGGAGGAGGAGAAGAAGGAGGAGGAGGAGGAGGGGGAGGAGGTGTGTCCCTCCGCCGCCCACCTTGCGCGGCGGGCCGACGCCAGGGCGCTCGGCTGCCCGAAACGGAGCGCACCCTCCGGAGAGTGCACGAGCACTTGCGGATCGAGGCGCGCCCCGCCCTCCCTCGTCTTCCCCATCGCCCCCCGATGCCTCGAGCACTCCCAAATGAGCGACGCAAGGAAACTGGGTCGACTGCGCCGACATTCGCGCGTAAGCTGCCCGCGTAAAGGCGCGCGTGAGCGCCCTCGTCTCCAATGTAATTTGCCGCGCTGGCGGCCCGCGTAAGCCACCGCGCAAGGTCGCCACGTCATCTCGCGTATGACCCGCTTCGTTTCGTGGCTCCTCCAACGTCTTCCGATACGAGTCTTGTCCCAGACAGAGTCTTACCGGAGACTGGTGCTCACGGCGGCAGCCACGGGGCTGCGTCGCCGCAGGGCCCGCCGCCGAGCCCAAGCCTGCCCATCCCGGCGCCGGCCCGCGTGCTCGGCAGGGAATCAGATTTCGTTCAATGCAGAACCTTGGCGCCCCCGTCCTTCCAGGCTGTAGGAACTCGTGGCGCGCAGCGGGTCTTCCCTTATGTTGCACTTCCTGCTCTTGTCTCATCTTATCTCCTCGCCCCCGCCCCTGGCGCTACTGGTGTGGCGATGGCAGGGACCCGCGGCGAAACCACGGCCCCAGGCCAGACCCAGACTCCCTCGCGTCGTGGAAAAGTCAGGACGTGGAGGTTTTCGCTGTTGTCAGCCCCTGGAGGCCATTACCGAGCTTCGAGACGGTCAAAAAACGGCTCTGGATGAAAAGCCGGTCCCAGGGAATGGGTCAGCGCCGATTCACGAAGTCCACGCGGACCTGAAAGAAATTATGTTGATGCTGTTGTTGTTGATCCTCTCAGTGAGTTGGTCGTTCATTTGAATGGGTTTTCCCAGGATTGGCGATGGGATTCCAACGGCCTGTCGCTCTGGGTCCTTGCGGACCGCGCTGGCGTCGCGGTGGTGGCTCTGTACGGTGTCCGAGGCAGCTCGCACACGACGGGGGCAGCAGAAATGCCGCGCGCACCGAGGTGCACGAGGACGGCGCAGGGAAAGCCGTATGTTGGGAGAGTCGACGTGAGCGCTCGCTGTCAGGATCGCGGAAAGGACAGCGCCGACGACCCGATGGCAGAGGCACGCGGGGCGGCGGCCTCGGGCGAAGACGCTCCTCGGCAGCCTGCAGCAGCCCGCGCGCTCGGCCTCGGGGCCCCCTGGCCGAGCTCTAACGGCGAGGGCGAGGAGCAGCGGAGGCCCCGGCGGCATCCGACGGCCACCGCGGCGGCCCCCTCGCGGCGCCCTCGGCGCCTCGCCTCCGGGGGCGCCCGGCTGAGGGCCGCGGCGGGCCTCCGCGCACGCGCCGAGCGCGGGCGGCGGCGCGGGCAGGGCGGCGTCGGAGCTCGTCGGGGGGGGGGCAAGCGGGCCCTGCAGGTGGCCGAGGCCACGCCGCCGCGGGAGGCGAGGCTCGCAGCGGGGGCTGGGCCCGGGACCTCCTCCTCCTCCTCCTCCTCCTCCTCCTCCTCCTCCTCCTCCTCCTCCTCCTCCTCCTCCTCCTCCTCCTCCTCCTCCCGAGGCCTCCTGGCAGCGACGGCCCGTGCCGCAGAGGCGGAGCTGGCCCAGACGGCGGTCGGCAGACGATCGCGGACCCTGGCTTGTTCCTTCGATGACAGCTGCATGCTCACCCGCATCCCGAGCGTGTTCCATGGGTGGAGGGAGGGCAAAGGGTGAGATCTGAAATGCCGTTCCGATTGATGTTCGAGGCTTGGATCTGCAAAAGGTGAATCACAAGACGGATTGATTTTCGAGGTGCAAAAGCCCATGTGTATTTCACCCTGAGCCTTCCACCCTAAGGAAATGCTCAGGCATCATCATCATCATCATCATCATCATCATCATCATCATCATCATCATCATCATCATCATCATCATCATCATCATCGTCACCGTCACCATCACCATCACCATCACCATCATCATCATCATCATCATCATCATCATCATCATCATCATCATCATCATCATCATCAGTGTCGTCCTCCCCATCCCTTTCACATAATTGCCATCATGATCGTCGCCGTTGCCGTCGTCACTGCTTCTCCTTGTCTCGTATTTGCAAGTTGTGGATCGTCATCGTCATCGTGATAGACAGAATCGCCTCCGCAATTGTCCTCGTCATTCTTCGAGACACGAAACCCGAATGAAGATAAACCTTCGGAGCCCCATGCAGATTTATTCCATCTGAGATAGGAGCGCGCCAGGGGCGGCGCTGGAGGCGCCGCCAGTGGGTTTCCGCGCCGATCTGGAAATCCGCGCGGAGCTTCGAAAGGTTGCCAGTTGCGCTGCCGCGCGGTTCTGGGCGGGCGGGGAGAGGGTGGGGGGGAGGGGGGCGCCTTGGAGGGGGAAGGGGTTCATGGAACCCCTCTTCCCCAGGCTGCGTATTTGGAATCCTGGGGTCATTTTCGGCTTGGAAGGCCAAAAAGCAGGGACTTGGCCACAAAGCTGAACGCATCGTGGGCTCCATGCGTCGGGGGGGGCCCAGCTATCGCTTCGCCAAAAGCAACACATGGCCCGACGCACACCAACCGCTGCAAGCGCGGTGGTGGATGTTGATGCGTTCTCTTTTATTCATTTTTGAGTATTGGTCTATTAAAGGTAGTGTTCTTATTGCTATGTTATGACAATGACTATTTCCTGTTCGTAGTATTATGATGATCATCATTAGTACTATTGTCATTAGTATTAGCGTTACTGCTGTTATTGCTAGTTGCTATTGCTGGTATGATTAGTATTACTACTATGCACCTTACTCTTTTCAGCATAATTCTGCATCGCGGCCACGCCGACTCGAGAGCCGCGTCGGCCCAGTCGGTCGCCGGGGCGCCCATGTGCCCGAGCAGAGGGTCGCCCGCATGCGGGCCGCCGCGGCGTTCGACGAGCTGTACGAGCGCTTGCGCGTGCTGGGGGAGGGCGCCTACGGCACGGCGTTCCTGGTGCGGCAGAAGGATTCCGACATCTCTGATCTGCCCTTTCTGCTCTTCTCGGCCTCCCATATGGGGTCCGAGCAGGTGAGGTCGGAGCATGGCGCCGCATCGCCCATGCATCGGCGATGCCGCGCGATGTGGAACCCGATCTTCTCCACGCCGACGTCGCCGATGCATCGCTGACGTCGTCGGTGTATTGTTGGTGGGTCGGTAATGCATCGTCCGATTCGGAAAAGACATGTTGGAGCCAGCTGGGGGTCCGAGGTTGCCCAGCACTAGTTTGGGCCAACGAGAAGGGCAGGCAGGTTCGAGGTGCTGGGTTCGGGGTGGGTTTTTGCCTGTGTCGGCCTTTGGGGGCCAGCCCCGGGAAGGTGAAAAAGTGGGGCGACAAACTGCACCAGATGGACCCCAGGAGGGGTCCAGGGACCACTTTTGAGCGGATTTGGCCTCGTCCCCCCCTCTTGATCGATCCTCGGGGGCCCCGTCCAGTTCAGACCCCCTGGCCGCCTCCAGACTCAGACGTCTGTGCTTCTCCCTCTCTGACGCGGAGGCGGCAAGCTGCACACACCATACACGTTCGGAGCACCGCGCGGAGCTCTCGGGATCGGTGCTGGGCCCCTCGGGCGCCGCCCCCGGGGCGCGCTCCGCGCTCCGGGCGGGGGCGCTCCGCGCCGATCCACAAGGAGTCCGCGCGGAGCTCCGAGAGCTCATGTTTGCGCAGTGGTCGTCTCCCTGCTTTCTGCTGGACCTCCCGGAGGGGCCGTGGTAGCCACGGCTAGACGCGGCTCAGATCGGGGGCGGAAAAGAGGGGGGTGATGACTAGGGGGGGGTGGATATCATGGCGTGGGTCATGATTTTTCCCCAGATCTCTTGGCGCCTCTTCTTATTTCAATACGTCCCCGGCCCTCCCGCTGGGCCGCGCACATGCCGCCGGTCATGATTTGCACCCCCCCCTCTTGGACACCCCCCTCTTGGCCGCTCCCGATCAGAAGCGGGCCTGGAGGGTGTCCGGAGTGATCAAGGGGCTGTCTCACCGCGCCCGCCGGCGGAGAAAAAATCGACCGTGGTGTCCGCCCGCTCCTGACATCTGGACGTCGCGGGAAGAGTGCGGCGGAGATGTCGCCCCGTTTCGGACCGTTGGAGCCCTCCCAGATCGACCCGACTCGAGACATGAGACAGAAAAATGAGCCGACGGTTCCTGTCGTGTTCTGCTCGATGCTGATTCTCGTGCTTTCGTCACGCCGGTGCTCCCCGAGTCGTGCTCGCATGAAGGGGGGTCCCACTTTTTGGTTTTTGTGAGCCATTGGCTTGCATCTCCAGTGGGGGGCCACATCCCCCCACGATTTCTGAGAGGGAGGGTGGGGTATTACTTCGTTCGGGAGCTCCTGAGCAAAGTGAACCCCGCCCTCCCCCTCAGAAATCGTGGGGGGTAGGGGCAGGGTTCGCACATGGCCCCCGAAGGTTTCCCCGATTCGGGCGCCCGTGCCCCGCCTTGTGCCAACTCCGCGCGCCGGCCTGCAGTTCCCCGGGCTCTCTCGCTCGGTGGGCGCCCGCGCCCGCTCCGTGCGCTGGCCGGCACCTCCTGGCGGGTGGGTCGGCCAGTGGGCGCCGGTGGCCGGCCGACGCTCTTCGCTTGCGTGGGCCTGCGCGAGGGGATGCCGCGGGGCCTGGCCCGTCGCTGCGCTTCGGCGAGCTCGAGGGGTAGCCACGCAGAGGGCAGTTCTTCCCAGTGGCGCTCGCCTCGAGGGGAAATTTTGGCCACCGGCCTTCCCTCTCTCGCTGCACCGAGGGCATCGAGGGGACGTGCCCTCCACCGCGGGCGCCAAGGCGCTGCCGTGGGTCGGCTCCGTGCTTTGGCCGGCATGTTCCTGGCCTTCGCCCGGTGGGTGCGCCCGTGCGCCCGCCCGGTGCTCCCTGCGTGCAGCGGCTGGCATCTCTTCGGGGGTTCGCCGACGGTGGGCGCCCGTGCCCGCCTGGCGCTGATATGGACTGCACGACACGCACGCACACACACACACACACACACACACACACGTGGCATCCCACAACAGGTTGTTTTTTCGAGCTGGAGAGCACTCAAGCAACAAGACACTGCGACCACCATCCCGAGGCCGGACTTGTCGGTTCCCCCTGGTCGGGGCTCGAAAGAAGCAGGGGCCCGTGCAAACGGGGGTCAGTCAGAGCGTTGGATCTTACGGGACCCTGCAGAGCCAGGGTTGCATTGACCTGGGCTTGGGTACAGTATCCTGCAGGATCTTGCAGGATCGTGCAAGGCCTGACTGACCCGGGTCTGGATTGACCCGGGTCAGAATATCCCCGACTCGGGAGGTTGCAATGTACGGATGATTTTGGTTAATCGTCTTTCGTCGGTGTGGAATCCCACCATCCCAGGCGAGCCAGCATCGACCACCCGCCCCTGTTTAATCTTTGTCAAATAGCACCACGTACGCACGCTCGCTTCTTTCAAGAAGGTATGCTTCAGCTCTCTTCTGCAACAGAAAGTCCACACGCGCGCACACGGCGAAATCAAACCAAGCACATAAACGGCGCAAGCCGTTCCACACAAAAAACATTGGTTTACGAATGGGCATGTGGCAGATGTTCTGCCCGAGCGCACTTGCTGATAGAATAGGAAGAACAATCGTATGTTCGCTGTCTCGTCCAGAACCCGCATTATCGTGTCACCACGCGGTGTATCCGGTTTGACCTAGCATGCGCCTGGAGCACAAATCCGTATCAAAGAATATCATGCGGGCCACATGCGCGTGCCATCGCGCTCGCGTGCCGAAATCCGTCCAAAACCATTTGTCTCGAAGCAGTTTAGGATGGAGCTCCGAATTTCAACAATAACTCTGCCAGCTGCACGCGCGCCTTTCCCCATCACCCTTATCAGAGCCATCGCATCATCGCTGGCGCCGTCATCGTCAATCGCCGCCATTGCCGCCATCATCATCACAATGACCTTCATCACCGATCCATGGACATCATCATCGTCCTTTTCGTCACCAGGATCGGCGCCGTCATCGGCCTTGCCATCGTCATCGTCGTCATCGCCACCACCATCGATATTATCATCATCACTGCCGCCGTTGTCGACGTCATCATGACATCGCACCCGCCCGGGTCACCGACCCGCACTGAAATGCCCGCGCGCCAGCGCGGCCTCTGAGACTCGCTGGGATGTTCCCGCTGGTCAGCGCCATCGCGGCCGCATCAGCTGCGCCCAGCCGGCTGGTCGTTGTGCGCGCGAGCGTGCGCACGCCAGCGCGGCCATAAAGACACGCTAGCAAGCTCCAATCGGTAACCGTAATCGTGGCCGAATGGGTTTTGCCAAACAGGTTGCGGGTGGGAGGGTGGGATGTTTGAGCGAGCATTGGAGTTGACGACTTCAAGTGGTCCGCGGTGGATGACACAACAAAAATTGGACCGCATGTATTGTTCGGCATAGATTGCCCCACAGAGATGGCACTCCATAAGCTGCGCTGAATCCATTGCACCCCATGGGTTATCTTCCGTAGATTAAAGCCACTCGAGTGCACCCCATAGATTTCTTCCTTGTGAATCTAAGGCTCTACCCCTTGCCGAGGCCGGACTTCGCCGATCCTATCAGTTCAGTTGCCCGCCATGGTTAATGTCCAACACTGTCGGGTTGAAGAACTTACGAATGCCATCTTCGCCCGACCAGCAATGGTCCCACCGCTGCTTTGGTCAAAACCATCCAGCGCACACGCGTTGATATAGCAAGAAAGCGCTGCAATGAATCTTAACAAGCCATACCATGCGGGCCACGCGCGCGCGTTTCCGCGCACGCATACCCAAACCTTTCTAACAACAGGTGTTTGTCATCGGGGTCGTCGCCATGGGCATCGTCAACATCATCATCAGCATCAGCATCAGCATCATCAGCAGCACCATCAGCATCAGCATCAGCATTATCATCCTCATCATCATCACCACCGTCATCATCACCACCGTCATCATCATCATCATCATCATCATCATCATCATCATCATCATCATCATCATCATCATCAACAACACCGTCATCATCAGAATCATCAGCAGCATCATCACTCGCCCGCCCGAGCCATGGATCTGCACGAGAATGGTCCGTGCGTGACTGCGCCTGTCGAGATGCGCGAACAAGTTCGGATAGGTAACGGCACTCACGGCCAGTGGAGTGTTGCAAGTGAGTTGCGGGAGGGCGGGTCGCATTTGTGTTAGAGCATTGGATTGTGATAGCGCGTGAATCGCTCGGCGGCACCAAAGTAAGCCAACATCGAGAGTGCGAGAAGTCACTGCTTGAGGTCCACACTGCATAGCATGTTTGTTCACTACGTCGGACCTCGGGGAACAGAGGGGGTGGCAAAGCCCAGGGTTGCGCACAGGCATACCCCAGAGGTATGTAGCCATGGCTAGCCTCAGACGGCCCGAAGGGCTGTCGAGGGCCACCTCAGCACCCAGCACCGCCCCTGGCGGTGCCCCCCGCCCCGCCGTCCTCCTCCGCACCCCTGAACCTTGCCAGATCAGACAGGGGGTGATAGACAGAAGAAGGTGAATAGATTCGGCTATCGGCAGGGAGGAGAGCTTCATTCCGTGTGACAACTTGTATGCAAGGTGGGTGCCTATGTGGGGAGTGTGTGGAGGTCCCAAAGCATTCAGTAGTCACCGTTTTTTCGTCGAGCTCCTTTGTCCCAAAGGATGCACGGGAGCTGCACGTCGCCAAGGAGATCCGGACCGCACACCTTACGGAGAAGCAGAGGGAGGGCGCTTTGGCAGAGGCGAACGTGCTGAAGATGATGAGGCATTCCAACATCATAGCGTACGTCGATTCTTTCCTCGAAGGCTCCAAGATGTACATCATCATGGAGTACGCGGACGGCGGCGACCTGGCGAAGAAGATCAGGGGGCGCAAGGACGACGGCGGCACGTTCCAGGAGGCCGAGATCATGTTCCACTTCGCACAGGTTGCCCACGCGCTGGACCACATCCACCGGCGGAAGGTTGGGCGCCCGAGTTATCCGGGGTAACTCGGGTCCGGGGTAATTCGGGTTTGGATTCCCGAAAAACGAACCCGAGTTATCCCGGACCCGAGTTACCCCTGATGATTCGGGGCTCTGGGCGCCCGAGTTATCCGGGGTAACTCGGGTCCGGGGTAACTCGGGTTCGGAATTCCGAAAAACGAACCCGAGTTATCCCTGACCCGAGTTACCCCTGATGATTCGGGGCTCTGGGCGCCCGAGTTATCCGGGGTAACTCGGGTCCGGGGTAACTCGGGCTCGGAATCCCGAAAAGCGAACCCGAGTTATCCCTGACCCGAGTTACCCCTGATGATTCGGGGCTCTGAGAAGGTGCTTCACCGCGACCTCAAGCCGCTCAACATCTTCCTCACCAGCCAGGGCGACGTGAAGCTCGGCGACTTCGGCATCGCCCGCGTGCTGGAGAGCACGACGGCTGGCGCACAGACGACCATCGGCACGCCCTTCTACCTCTCGCCGGAGGTGTGCAACAACGAGGCCTACGGCCGCGCCAGCGACCTGTGGTCCCTGGGCGTCGTGACGTACGAGATGGCGGCCCTGCGGGTGCCCTTCCACGCCACCTCGATGCCAGCCACCGCCCTCAAGATCATCGGGGCGGAGCCGGATCCCCTCCCGCAGGGGTACTCTGGCGGCTTCGTGCGCATCGTGTTCGGCCTGCTGGAGAAGGAGCCGGCCAGCCGGCCGAGCCTGGAGGCGGTGCTCCAGCTGCCCTCCGTGCAGATGCACATATCGGACTTGTCTAGGACGCTGGCGAGCGGCAACGGCGGTATCGACGTCAAGACCTCGGTGGAGTCAGAGGGCGCGCGGCCGCCGCGGGCCGCGGCCCGCGCGGAAGCGCGGGCGTCGCCAGGACCGCTGGACCCACGCCACGGCCCGCAGCCAGAGCCGCAGCGGCATCCGCGGCCCGAGGCGCCGCGACGAGAGGCGCCGCGGCGGCCCTCATGGGAGGTGGCATGCGTTGAACCGCCCGACACGGTCAGCACAGAGAGCGGCTTCGGCAGTGAGCCGCCCCAGCAGGCGGTCAGCTTCGACGGCCGCCCTGGCAGCGGCGTGCACGGCGGCCCTCCCCCGTGGGAGAGGAGGCCACCAGAAGGCCCAGCCGCCAGAAGGACCGGCGCCGCCGTCCCCCGCAGCGGGCGCGACGTCGCCGCTGGGCCACCGCCGCCGCCGCCGTTCCAGGAGCTCGCAGCCGCGCCCTGGCCGGCCCGCCCGGCCCAAGAAGGGCGCCGAGAGCCGTCGTCGCGCACGCAGGCGCCGGAGAGGCGCCAGGAGGAGGCGCTGCAGAACCCGTGGATCAGGCGCGGCTACCACCGCCCCGAGGAGCTGCCGCCGGCGGGGGTCGAGAGCGTGCCGGTCCCGACACTCGCGGGTGCTGGCGCGCCGGCGCTGGCAGCGCCGCCGGAGCAGCGGATCGCAGCGCGGCGGCTGCGGCAAGAGGAGGAGGATGACATGCTGGCGGGAGGCGAGCGCAGGAAGGCAGAGGTGCGGAGGAAGGCCCAAGAGGAGCGCGACAGGCAGGAGGCTTACCGGAGGAGGCAGTTGGACCAGGCCATGCGCGAGCAGCAGGAGGAGTTGCGGCGGTTGCGGGCGCGGCAGCAGTCCATGCGCGGCATGGAGGACGAGGCCATATCCGCGGGCAGCACCGACGAGGTGCCCACCGACCACGAGGCTGCGCCAGTGGGCCCCCGTCGAGACCACCAGGCGGCCCCGCAGGCCGTGGGCGCGGCGTGCGCGGAGCCGGGCCGCGCCGCAGGGGCAGGCGAGCCCCCGGATAAGGCGCTGTCGCAGACCATGCAGTGCGCGTTCGAGTTCCAAATGGTCGACAAGGTGCGCCCGCGGCCGAAGCTCACCTCCGAGGCGCAGCAGCCGCGCCGGCCGCGGCAGGCGCAGGCCCCCGAGCCCGAGCCTGGGCGTGGTGGCGCTGGCCCCGCCGAGGGCCTGCTCCGAGGCAGCGCGGGGCGTTTGCCGCCAGCGCCGGCGCAGAGACCGCTGCAGGTCAGTGTCGTTGAACCGATCCCCATCCCCATCGGGACCGAGTATCTCAGCCGTGGATATCTAGGCCTTCTAGATGGGGTCGAAGTAGATGGGGTCAGAGGACCGCGCCGCATCGCCGATGCATCGACGACGCGGCTCGATGCGGAACCCGATTTGCTTCACGCCGGCGTTGCCGATGCATCGCCAGCGTCGCTGGTGCGACCCTCCGACCCCATCGTCTTCGACTCCATCTAGGAGGCCTCTAGGACACACACCTCGAATCCCGAAGGGAATAGCCTATGTCCCCATCTGGGGGAGGGAATCGGCCAGGGGGGCCCAGGCCACGCCAGTGGGGGTGGGGATCGGTTCGGCGATGATCAGCAGGGCTCCCCCGCTCAGAGCCTGCGCCGGCCGCGAGTCGCCGAGGAGTGGGCGCCGCAGCACGCGCCCGGGCAGGTTGGCGCCATGCGCACCGCGGGCTCCGCCGTCGTGGCGGCGCCGCGGCGGGCAGAGAGGCCCCGCTGCGCAGCAGGTGTTGGCGGTGCGCACGCTAGATAGTAAATCACGGAAGTTCCCGCTCGTCTCGCATTGGATGCACATCGGCGAGCAGCGGCGCTCAACAGCGCCAAATTCAAGAGCGCCGACTAGTTATTAGCGTTCAGGTAGCGCACATTCGAGACCGATAGCGCCCACCAGCGCCATGTGAGTGAGGGAGGTGCAGTATGTCCGCTTTGCGACCGATCGGGCACGCTATATTGGGCGCCACTGGGACGACCGAGAGTTTCCGTGAGCTGCTCTCTAACGCACAGGCCAGGGGCACCGTTAGGAGGTGTGGCTCGGGGGGGAACGCATCGACCCCGAATCGCCCACTGATCGCCGACAGGGGCCCGATGGCCCGCCCCGCCCAGGAACGTCCGGGCTCGCCATCGAGGGCCCGCTGGTCGATCCATCGGCGATGCATCGCCGAGCCCAGGCCGACAGCTCTCCCTCCCTCGGCGGCAGAGCCCCCTCCCCGAGCGCTGCCCCTCCGCTCCGCTGGGGGGCAGCGCGAGAGGGGCGGCCTCTTCCGAGAGGGCGGCCGGGGGGGGGGGGCCTCGCAGAGGAGGCCTCTTCGGGGGGGGCGGGGGCAGTGGCCCGAGAAGGGCCTCTTCGGAGCGGGGGGGGGGGGGGGGGCCGAGAGGCCTCCGTCGCCTCGCGGGAAGCCTCCCCCGCGCCCGTCTCCGGAGGCTGCCCCCGCCTCGCGCCGCCCCCGCGCGCGCCCCCCGCCGGAGGTGGAGAGGAGAGCGGTGCCGACTGAGCGCAGCTCTTCGAGGCGGATGGCGAGGCCGCGAGGGCCAGAAGGCTCGAGGAGGCTCCGTGCCGCCGCGAGCTCCGCTGGACGGCCGAAGGGCTCCGGAGACGACGGGACTGAGCTTGCCCACCTTTTTGTGCATCTTCGGCACTTGAGGTAGATGCGCGCTTGGAGATGCCAGGCCTCGGAGTCTCGCGTCTCGCCCGAGCCAGGTGGGCGACGTAAAGAAAGGGGGCCGTTTGCGCCGACGTGCGCGCGCGGGCAACCCGTACAAGGTCGCGCGTAAGCGCCCTCGTTTCGACGTGGTGTGCCGCGCTGGCGGCCTGCGTAAGCTGAGGTCGCGATGTCATCATGCGTGAGACTCAGGAACACCATTATCGGGTTGGGAGGATGGGGCTGGGAGAAGCGAGGATAGCATTGCCCGTAGGCGGCCGAAGGTGGCGTTCGCTGCATCCGGATGTTATTGCTCATACTCTTCATCCTCCCAACACCTTCCTCCCAACCCGGTTATTGTTCTCCTCAAAGACCCTTTTCTTTTAGTCGTGTCGGCTATTTCTTTTTGCCGAAGCACAGTTTCACAGAGGAGCACCCCCTGGTGCCCACGGCTGAGACTTCCGAAAACTCGAGTTTTCTAGCCGGCGGCCCCTGGATATGTCGCCCCGCTCCTTGGAGACCAGTGATCATCCTGAGTCTTTTTTTGACCGTCCCAGGAACGGGAAATTGTTTCCAGACGCCGAAATGGCAAGCAGCCTTTAGAGCGACTCGCTCTAGTCACCAGAGGTCTGGGTTGATGCCTAGGTCGCTGGAGCCCGCGCAGCACGACACTTTGGGACCTGCCTGACACTCGCCGCCGCCGAGCTGCGGAACTCCATCTGAAAGATGCAGATGAAGCGCTTCGTCTCCTCTCACGTTTTGTCCTCCGTTCTGATCCGATGTTTCGTCCTTTGGGCATTCGGACCCCAGTCAGGACTGGCCACACTGTTCGACCACGAAGGAGGGGAAGGAAGACAAGGCAGAGGAGCAGAAGGAGGAGGAGGAGGAGGAGGAGAGGGAAAATCAAGAGAAGTGGCAGGGAGGAAGGAGAGGAGAAGGATGAAGCAGCATCCTTCTCCTCCTCCTCCTCCTTCTCCTCCTCCTCCTCCTCTTCCTCCTCCTCCTCCTCCTCCTCCTGCTCATGCTCCTCCTCCTCCTCCTCCTCCTCCTCCTCCTCCTCCTCCTCCTCCTCCTCCTCCTCCTCCTCCTCCTCTCT